TTTTAAATGTGTTGAAGTTTGTATCATGGCCCGGGATATGGTCTGCCTTGATGAATGCTACATAAGGGCTTGAAAACAGGTACATTCTGCTCTTGTTGGGTCCTCTTGGTTGATTGTGTTGTTCTGTTCTTCCATATCCTTTCTGATTTTTGGTCTAATAGGTCTATCAATAGCATGATGTGTTGAAGTCTACAACTATATTTATTGATTTGTATATTTCCCCTTTCATATCTATCAGGGTTTTTCCCTAGTATATCACTTTGTATTGTTTTATTAGTGGTCACTTTAAGTGACTGTGTGTATGTGTGTTTGTGTGCACATGCACATGGACATGTGTGTATGTGTATGTAGGTAACATCACAGTGAACTGGCACTGATGTTTGATCACTTTGAATCATGTGTAGAAAACTTACTTCCATTTAGATCTTTTCTACTCTCATCTTTAAAAAAAATTGCCTGAAGTATTCCCTCTCCACATATTGAGCAGTACCCCAGAAAGTGTTATGACTGTTACTTCAAACATCAAATATGACTTTGAAAACTCATGACAAGAGGAACTATTTACTATATTTACCTATGCTTTCACACATTCCGATATTTCCTTTTTGAAGTCCCAAGCCTTCTTTGGTTATCATTTCTTTCTGTTTGGTGGACTTCCTTTAGCCAGTCATTAACAGCACATTTGCTAGCAACAAATTCTCTGTTTTCCTTAATCTAATGATACAATTTTCCCCCTTCAATCTAGAAATATATTTTCCCTGGATAAAGAATTTGTCGTTGGCTGTTCTTTTTTTATAGTACTTGAAAATGTTGTGCCAACTTCATCTGGCCTCCATGATTTCAGATGAGAAATTTGGATTGACATTTCCCTAGAAGTAATGCATCATTACTCTCTGTCTGGTTTCAAGTTTTTCTCTTTGCTTCTAGTTTTCAAAAGTTTAATTGTGATGTGTCCTATGGTGAATTTCTTTGAGTTCATGTTATTTGGGATTTTCTCAGCATCTTGGGTTTGCCATTTCATGTATTTCAACAAATTTGGTTAAGTTTTCAGGCATTGTTTCCTTGAGTACTTGTTCATCTTTATCCTGTTTCCTCTCCCTCTGAGACTCTAATGATACATATGCTAGTTCTTTTGCTATTGCTCCGCAGATCCTTGAGACTGTTCATTTTCTTCCACTTTGTTCATATTGGATAAATTCTATTGAACTGTCCTTACTTTTTCAGATTCTACTTTCTAATTCTATTTTCTATCATCTCTACTCAACTATTGGTGTCATTCTACAAATTTGCTAATTCAGTTGTATTTTTCAATTCTATGGTTTCCATTTGGTCTTTTTTTATTACTTCTACTTTTACTTAAGTTTTCTATTATTTTTTTAGAGTATTTTTAATTATTACCTTTGAAATATTTTTATGATAGGTACTTTATCTTTGTCAGACAATTTCAACATCTGATAATTCTCGGTGTTATCACCTATTGATTTTCACATTCACATTGTGTTTTTCCTGACTCTTTGTACAATGAATGATTTTATTATTGTACCCAGGGTGCTTGGCATTATATTATGACATTCTATTTAATCCTTTGATATAGCACAAGTTCTGAGTGGTATGTTCAGTTTACCAATGCTGCTGCCAATGCCACTCTGACAAAAGTTGTGTACTAACTCAAGTTACCTTGTTGCAGAAAGGTGGGGTGAAAACTTCAGCTCCCTCTTGGTCCTGCTAATACCGTGGGTAGGATATAGGGAAGCAGAGTGCCGACTAGCCTCATTTTTCACACCTCTTTCTGCCTCATTGATGCTGGATGAAGGTAGAAGCTGAGCTTCCCACTGGATCCCACTAAAACTAAGGGAGCAGGGTTTGAACTACCCTAAGTCATACCACTCCATTCCACCAGTGATGCCAGGTGAGGCTGGAGGCTTATTTTCCACTGAGCCCCTTTGGTATGGGAGTGAGAGGGCAGGGAGAGAGGGATCAGAGTTCACTGGTCCTGCTTCACACTGTCTGACTTGGTTTCTTGTTACAGTTTGGGAGTGTAGCTGTAGCTCCTCATTGGGTCTACTAATACCAGGGATGGGGGAAATGTGGAGGTAGCTAACCCTGACTCACACCTCCTGGTATGGTCTAATTGACACGGTTGGGGTAGGAACCCAACTCTCCCCTGGACCCTGATAGGTAGAAGGTTGAAGCATAAAGGTGATTAGTTCCACCTTACATCAGTCATCAGGTCTTACTGCTGCTGGGTGAGGGTGGAGGCCTAGCTGGCCCTGCTGGCATTATCCTGATGGGAAAATCTGAGCTCCACCTGCTTCCACCAGGCAGGGAATGGAATATTAGCTCCCAGCTCAGCTCCACTGAAACTACTAAGAGGAGGAACAGGAGTATTACCACCTGATACCTGCTACTGCTTACTTCCTTAGACCAGGGGTCAAGTGAAAGATTAATTCCTGCCAGATCCTGAAATTGGCTTGTGTGTGTGCGTGCATGTGTGTGCACCCATGCAGTGTTTCTGTTGTGTTTGACTGACATAGAGTGAGTATTGTCAAAAAGGTTTTCTCTTGTTAGGCCACCATCTTTCCTGTCCTTGGCTGGGGGAACAGGCTTTTCTTGGAGCCTATTTTGTCCATATCTATTAGAGATTCAGGGCACATGTGCCCTGTCCAGGATTTATGGGAAGCAACAGGGAAACCCAAAGAACTTACTGACAGTTTCTTCCTCCAGTCCCAAGATCCCTAGGCAGCTGGCCACCTTCTTTCCCCCTTTCAGAGTTTTCCTTGCTTGTTTGTTATGTTATGTCCACAGTGTTTAATTAAATTTCCTGACTCTTTGTACAATGAATGATTTTATTATTGTACCCAGGGTGCTTGGCATTATATTATGACATTCTATTTAATCCTTTGATATAGCACAAGTTCTGAGTGGTATGTTCAGTTTACCAATGCTGCTGCCAATGCCACTCTGACAAAAGTTGTGTACTAACTCAAGTTACCTTGCTGCAGAAAGGTGGGGTGAAAACTTCAGCTCCCTCTTGGTCCTGCTAATACCATGGGTAGGATATAGGGAAGCAGAGTGCCGACTAGCCTCATTTTTCACACCTCTTTCTGCCTCATTGATGCTGGATGAAGGTAGAAGCTGAGCTTCCCACTGGATCCCACTAAAACTAAGGGAGCAGGGTTTGAACTACCCTAAGTCATACCACTCCATTCCACCAGTGATGCCAGGTGAGGCTGGAGGCTTATTTTCCACTGAGCCCCTTTGGTATGGGAGTGAGAGGGCAGGGAGAGAGGGATCAGAGTTCACTGGTCCTGCTTCACACTGTCTGACTTGGTTTCTTGTTACAGTTTGGGAGTGTAGCTGTAGCTCCTCATTGGGTCTACTAATACCAGGGATGGGGGAAATGTGGAGGTAGCTAACCCTGACTCACACCTCCTGGTATGGTCTAATTGACACGGTTGGGGTAGGAACCCAACTCTCCCCTGGACCCTGATAGGTAGAAGGTTGAAGCATAAAGGTGATTAGTTCCACCTTACATCAGTCATCAGGTCTTACTGCTGCTGGGTGAGGGTGGAGGCCTAGCTGGCCCTGCTGGCATTATCCTGATGGGAAAATCTGAGCTCCACCTGCTTCCACCAGGCAGGGAATGGAATATTAGCTCCCAGCTCAGCTCCACTGAAACTACTAAGAGGAGGAACAGGAGTATTACCACCTGATACCTGCTACTGCTTACTTCCTTAGACCAGGGGTCAAGTGAAAGATTAATTCCTGCCAGATCCTGAAATTGGCTTGTGTGTGTGCGTGCATGTGTGTGCACCCATGCAGTGTTTCTGTTGTGTTTGACTGACATAGAGTGAGTATTGTCAAAAAGGTTTTCTCTTGTTAGGCCACCATCTTTCCTGTCCTTGGCTGGGGGAACAGGCTTTTCTTGGAGCCTATTTTGTCCATATCTATTAGAGATTCAGGGCACATGTGCCCTGTCCAGGATTTATGGGAAGCAACAGGGAAACCCAAAGAACTTACTGACAGTTTCTTCCTCCAGTCCCAAGATCCCTAGGCAGCTGGCCACCTTCTTTCCCCCTTTCAGAGTTTTCCTTGCTTGTTTGTTATGTTATGTCCACAGTGTTTAATTAATAGGGAGGACCTGGAAGGAATGGGGCCACTTCATCTTAGCAGAACCAGAAGTCCCTATTGCTTTTTTTTAAAAAATCACCAAATTATGATCACATTCTACATACAATTTTATATCATTTTTACTTAATATATCATAAGTTTTTAATTTCTGTAATAAACTCTTTGTAAGTACAATTTTAAGGGTTATATAATTCCCCACTGAGTGAACAGGCCATTATTTATATAATCATTTTCCTATTGTTGAAATTTAGATTCCAACATTATTGCTATAATAAATAATGTACGAATGAAAACATTTGTGCTCTAAAGTTTTTCTGTTTTTAGGACCATTTCCCTAGGTATTCCCAGAAGTAGAATCACACAGCCCAACAGCAACATGGAAGAGTGCCTCTTTTGTTCTCACCAGCACTGGAACTTCAACGTGCAGTCAAAAAGGAGCCAGTTTGATAGAGAGAAGAAGACAGTATTGCAGGAAGCCCTCACGTGCATCTCTTTGATCGCCAGTGAGATTGATCAATCACCCTCCTTTTGAAACTAGCTTTTCATGTCTTTTGCCTGTTTGTATTCTGGGACCTTACATATTCTTTGGGAATAGACTTTCCAGTAGAAGCATCCAAATCAATATGTACAAGACATAGTTTTCTTAAACCAAAAAGATACATACAGTTCAATGTCAAAGATCAGCCAGGAGAGAAATAATTTAATAACCCCACTCACCTACTGCAAAAATCAAGTGCCTAATAGGAAAACACCTGTCAATTAAATGAAGCTATCAGATGAACATGAAACATATGAAACTCTTCAGATTTCTGGATAGCTCTTGATCTTAAAAATTTGCCATTTAAGAATAAATATTTCCTGAACCTTACCGGCAGCATAACAGCATTGTCACCTTCAAAAGTTATAAACACATCTGTGTCACATTTTAAGCCTGAGATTCGGTTTTCCATCATGTAACCCTATTGAAAAACAAGAAAGAAAAGAAACACATTTAAAATTTTCAATCCCATCATTATAAAATAGGATTTACTTTGTCTTTGAAATTTAAAAATGTACAGAAAATTGGAAAAGAAAATAATTACAGTTCTCCCACAGAGAATAACTATCCAAAGAAATTTAATCCATCACATTAGTTGGTGGCCTTTAAATATTATTTTGGGTGTTGCCTTCATTATTAGTAAAAACATTTAAAAATAATCATGTCACATTTTTCTAAAATATTTCAACAAATTATGCTGATTTTTTCTCTCTCTGCTTCCCAAATCTTATGAACTCTAATAAATGTCAAGGCATTAGTGATTATACCCTACAATATGCAGAAAGAAGTCCCCTGTACCCCAACCCTTTTAAAATTAGCAAATATACCTATGACCCTTGAGGGATTATAAAAATCCTAAATTGCCATTCTGCATTTAATATCATTAAACACTCTGCATCATAAATTCACACTCCAGCTCCCAGCTAGTTTCTCTTGGCAGTAGACTACTGCTCACTTGCAAAGCGTTGATAGTGTTTCTGTACACAAACTGGGAGAATCTGCTGCGCAGAGCAAGTCATTCAGCCCCAGGCAAAACTGGGAAGCAGCAAAGTTTGCCTTTGTTTGGCCTCAGGCCATTCCCCTTCTGAAGGCCTCTGAGCTCTGTGTCTTCCAGCTCCTTGTCCTTCCCATTAAATCTCCAGAACATTTCCCACTGTCAAAATCAGCTTCCACAAATCAATCCTGCCCAAGTAAGATATGGCTGAGGCGACTGTCACCTTAACTTCTCCCAATGTTAGAGGAGGCAGACAGCTGGCAAACATGTGGAGAGGGAGGGGACATTCGGTGGGATGCTTGCTTCCATGCTACACACCTATGTAAGCTGATCCTGTGGGACATGGAGGGAGAATACAGATAACAGACTGGCCCAAACCAGCTTCCTCCAATAAGGAAGAGAAACTGACCCAAACTTCACCCCAAAATCCATTAGCATAGTAAAAATCAAGCCTCCCCACATGCCATCACAGTTCCAATGGGGACAAAATAGTCACAAACCCACCTGAGGTAAGGGTGCAGCAGGCCCGAACTGAAGGAAGATGCCACCTGTCCCCTTTGGAACTCCACCCCCCTTAGTGATTACTCCTCTCCTTCATATAAGTAGCTCCCTACTGTTCCCTGCACAGTCCCCTCTAGGTCTGCCCAGGCCCCAGCTCTCGGCTGTGTACTCTTGACTTTCTCTAAAATCATATTTTCCAAGTAAACTCTAAATGATCCATGCCTTTTGTGTCCATTCTTGAATTTCTTTGCCACAGTGAGGCCAAGGACCCGTCTCTTGTCCTTGAATATTTGCATTTAGCACTTTCGCTCTGACAGAGAATGACAAGATTTAGCTCCTGTTGAAAATGTCAAGCCACATGGGCTCTGGAGGGTCACAGAAGGGTGCTCCCATGGGCAGCCATCCTTAATGCCTTGGGGGCCCTCTTGCATTTCTGAAAACAGCCACCTGTGACACGGAAGCCAGCACTCCTGAGGTCCCCAGCCTGCAGAGACCTACGTCCTGCGAGCACTCTCGGAGGACCCCCATGCCCTCTTTCCCTTAGCATCTAGGTAGTCCCAGCAGGCCAACAGCACAGTGTCACCATCTAGTTTACAGAAGCAAGGTGTCCTCACAAGTCCACAGCAATCCTTTGTCAAGTTCATAAATGTAAACGAATTGTAGTTATGGGTAAATAATCCAGTAACATTTCCAACCTGGAGAAATTCTCCCTTCCCCTCCCCCACATAACCGCGGGATTACACCCGCCCCCCAGGCAAGCCTCATGAAATTAAGTTTGGCCTGGATGTGATCATGCCTCAGAGCGTTTCCCCAACAAGGCAAGAGCTGACTCATTTTCATTGTCATAATTCTGCTATCTATGGAGTATTCGCCACAAGCCAGACACTGAGCAGGGGGCTTTACCCAGACTTCATATACTTCACTTAATCCTTTTATCCTCACAACAGCCTTGTGAGGTAGGTGTTACCCCATTTTACACATGAAGAAAGCGAGGCTTGAGGACTATGTTGGATTGTTCTAGAATAAGCTCTCAAATTCTGGTGCAGAAAAGGGTAACACTGAATATTCCACTCCAGTGTTGGGAGGAAGCAGGTATACAGAAGAAGCATAGCTGCTAAGTGCTCAAAATAAGCAGTTAAAGAAACACCATGCTTTCTCTTGAGCATTTTGCTCGGGTCTCCTCAGTGGGAGGGAGTGATAGGTTCTTTGTTGTTCTGACACTCTGAACTTGTTCACAGTCAACCAGGCCATCCAGGCCTTAAAATGACCCAAGAGATAATCCACTCAAAGAGGAGTAGGATCAGCAGACACAGGCCAATGCCTCTCAGACAATGGGCAGCCGAGTTCTGCAAGCAGAAAGATGTTCTGCCTTATATTAATTCTTCAATAAATTCTTCAATTCCTCTGAGTTTGAAAATTGAGTAAAACAGCATGACTTTTCTGATGATTCTAGACTTTCCAGGGCTCCTGACAGAGCAGGGGTAACAAGGCTTACAGCCCTCAGAGAGCGTGCAGGCACCTGAAAGGAAACAGCAAACAGAAAACCCACAGGTCAACCAGGTGCAGGGCAGTGCTTGGGGCCAGCACATCGCTTCCAATCTCCTGCAACTACCAGGGGCATAGTTATGATCTAATTTCCTTAGAAAAGGCCAGAGGGGCCTATCCTCAGAAAAGGTCTAGATCCTTGGGATATCTGGGGTGACCTGATCAGAAACTAACCAGTTTCAGAAGTCCTAGGCATTTGTGTTCTGTGTCTTAGAGAAAGACACTCAGCATAGTTACTGAATGTGGACATACAACCATCTTCTTAAGGGACTTAAACTCTAAATTTGGGGCTCCTAAATCTTTGGGGAGAAATGATCATAAACAGTTTGTATGTGTGTGTCACTTTCTGATTAAAAATGAACTTTTTGGTGTTTTTTATTAATTACTTAAAACAACACATAAGCATTACTTAAAAATCACAAAAGAGAGAAAAACAAAAGGAAAAAACAGTCATCCAAAATCTCATGATGGGGGAGAAAAAAGGGTGCTAAGAAAGACCCAATGAGAAAGGCTTGGGATAGGAACTGGGAGTTATAAGGACAGAGGTAGGTGTTAGTGGGAGGCAGGTGGAGAGAAACCCAGAAACTGGCAGAGCAAATCTGGGCAAAGGGAGCCATGGAGTGTCCTGGAGCAAGGAGGATGATGACTGAGCCAGGGAGGCAGAGTAGAAGAGATGAGGAGCAAGTCAGGTGTGAGAAAAGCCAGAACCAGGGGAGGAAGTAACAGGGCCAAATTTGGGGGAAAGAGGAAATATGTGTACCTCACAGCGCCCCCCAGCACCACGGTGGCTAGTTGGGGGCCAGTGCTGGGCTCTGCAGCTCGAGACACTCCCCTCACCCAGGCACACCCCAGCACTTGCTACCTTCACGAGGCTTTTGACCAGCACCACAGGATGTGTGGAGAAAAGGGGCAGTCGGGGAGGCCACCACTGAGGACCACTGTTATGTCCCGTGGTGTATGATAATGTCGTTTCCACTCTTCACAGCACCTCAGCTTCGCAGTTCAGGGATGAGAAAGCTGAGGGTCAGTGAGGTTTTCCCGCTGTGCTCCCGCCACACTGGCCTTGCCCGTGGCCCTGAGGTTTGGGATGTTGTCCCCTCCACCTTGGCTGCTTCCCCCACGTCCATGAGGTTCTGTGCTCATCTCACGCCTGTCCCTGGTCAGAAGTTCCCACTGCAGGGAGGCGGCCCTGGTCCTTTGTCTAAAAGAGCTGCCTCACCACCACCATCACTTGCCCTCTCCTTACCTCTGCTTACGTTTGTCACAGCATCTCATGGCACAGTGCTGGGTCTTCGTGGCACCTCCTCCTGATATGAAGACGACATCAGGACACAGACACACAGGGAAGATCATGTGAAGGCATGGGACGGAGACACCTTTCTGTAAGTTCTGGTGAGAAGCCTCAGGAGAAACCAACCCTGCCAACCCCTTGATTTTGGACTTCGAGCCTCCAGAACTGGAACAAAATAAATACCTGTGTTTAAGCCACTCAGTCTGAGGTACTTTGTTACATCAGCCTGAGCAGACTCACACAGCACGCATGGGTGTACACATGTGCGTGTGTGTGTGTGTGAAGTGTTCTCTGGAATCTTGCCTATTCACAACAAGGGATAAATCACCATGAACTGCTTCTCCCACACGAAATGAAGCCTTTGGAGTCTAAGGAAATCCTTCTCTAAGCCATCATCTCAAAGCACCTCAACAGCACCTTGGGTTTTCATTACAAAATGAAATAGTGATTCCCACAAGTTTTCTTCCTTCCAGTCAGACTCCTAAGTGGGGCCATTTGCTTATACATTTCTGGTTGGGGTAGCAGACAGCTGAGAAAAAAGGGGCAGTGAAGGAAGAAACACGTTTTATCCCCCAAAAAGTGAGTAATATTTTCCATAAGCTTACTTCACTCAATTTAAAAAAGAAATGTGGAATAGACAGAGGGAACTCTAAACGTCATGCTCCCCAGGCCAGCAGACTCCTCAGGGGTGATGTGGGCCAGAATCTGGTCTCCATGAAGAAAGAGTACATGGGCAGACACGTTACTCTATCTCTGCCTTCTGGATCACATCGAGCCCCTCAGCAAGTAATTGTGACTGTCACTGAGGTTGTGTCCCATTTCAATCTGAGCCCCACAGAACATATTTTATGATTCAAGCTTTGTGCACTGAAAGTTTAATATTTTCCTGCTGTTCTTCACATCTCCAATTTTTTTATACTGTATGATTACATTTAATAAATGCATCAGAACAAATCAGAAACAGGCTTTCTTTCCCACCCGGAAAGAAACTGAGGGTAAATTTTGTTAATTTGAAGAAGAGGAAACAGACAAAAATCAATCTTATCTATTTGTTAGGGCACATCAATTGAAAATAGAGACACTGACCCAC